TATGATTCTATGTCAGCAATTCTTGTCTAAAATGGACAGAAAGGAGCTGAGGAATCATTTTGAGCCCAGCAAAGAGTGGGAACAGGCTGTGGATTTAGGGACTCTGTTCACATTTGGAGGAGATTCAGTGATGGTCCCAGCAAGACCAGCACCACTCAGGCCAAGTCCTCATTTGCTGGGAGGTAGCTGCTAGCTTACACCTGAGGGAAAGGAAATGACCTGCATACAGCATGTGCTGGGTGAGCCCCACCATGGGTTCCCTCTGTGCTTGTGGTGACAGGAGCTTGCTGTGTTTACCAGCAAAAGGAGTTGTGTCCTGCTGGGTGTGACTCTGTAATGTCCCCTGGGGCTCAGAGGACAGAGATGGGAATTTTTCCCTCTGTAGTCACTCCAGAGCTATGTGAGCGTAGTTATTTTAATCATCTTACAAAGACAAAATGAAATGCAGCTCAGAAAGCTCCTCAGAGGTAGAAAGGCTCTTTGTAAAACACCTAGCAGCACAAGCTGTTGGGACTTGGAGCATACTGGGGTTGAAGTGGGTCCCTTGCCTGTGTGTGATGTGCTGCTCTTTAGAAAAGGTCATTTGTTGAACCAGGGAAGAGAACAACACATCCAAATGAGTGCATGCCCTCCCTCTTTTTTAATAACCCTTTTTTTCTGATTTAAGATGTAGACAGGGGTAATTGTGGCTGAACACCTACCAAGGGAAACCAATCTGCTGTTGCATGATTTGACAATAACAGTGATCTCCATCTGTGCCATCCAGGCTAGTGCTGACTGCTCTGATGAGTGGTTCAGAACTCGGGTGAGGCAGAGAGCCTGCCTCAATTGCAAAGGTCACAGCTCTGATTTGTTGCTTCTGTTTCCCCTGATTCTCTCTTGCCTGCCACAGCAGCAAACGTCTGAGATAATTAACTCAGTAACGTCTTGGATCATTAATCTGTGCAGGGCTGAAAGCTGTTTTCAGTGTGTAACGATGAGCATTTAATTTATTGCTCTGATTATGTCCCTTAGATGCCTTATGTCCCTCTCCCCATCTCTCTTGCTGTGGCAGCTCTGATGTGATGCTGCCCTGGACCCACTCAGCCCCTGCAGTTACTGTGGGGTTGGAATCTAGCTGCACAGAGCACGTGCATGCTTGTGCCTTCTTCTGTTTTGTCCCTGCTGTTAGTCATGTCCTCATCTGAGGACGTGCTCTGTGCATACTGATGTCTAGAAATGTCCTCCTGGTGCAGTGCCCCTTGCTGTGCTTACACAGCCTTCATCCCTCTTCTTGTTTGGGCACCTGCTCTAATACTTCTCACGTGTCTCTAGCAGGACTGAGCGGGTGAGATGGGGCTGTAGAAATCCTCTGTACCAGGAGCAGAAGGCCAGAGGAGGCTGCTGAGAACAGGCAGTGCACTGTGTTCCCTGCAGCACTCTGATACCTGGTACCCTGAGCAGACTTTGGTCCCTTGAAATCCTGTCGCTTGCAGTAATGTGCTGAGAGAAGCCTAAATGTGATACTCAGACCATGGGAAAAGATAGGATGTCATTATGAAGCCTGGAATTTATTGAAAGCAGATGATTAACTCGATTCTGAGCAGCTGGGATGCTCTGAACTGTGATCTTGGTCTGTAATTGTAAATTGTCCATCAGCTTTGTTGCTTAGACCGAACCTGTAATGAAGGTAGTTCTCACTTAAGCTTTGCTACCCATTAATCTCACAGGGGGACATCATGCTGAGGAAATGATGCACACCCCTGAAGGGTGTGGAACTGAGGGCTAAAACATCATCTTTTTTTTCTTTTTCTCCCTAGTATTCATTATGTAATGAGCCTCTGATAGAGCTGTCAAACCCTGGTGCCAGCGGCTCCCTCTTCTACGTCACCAGCGACGATGAATTCATCATAAAAACTGTGATGCACAAGGAAGCTGAATTCCTACAGAAGCTCCTCCCTGGCTACTACATGGTGGGTATCTCCCAGCAGCTCAGACCTGACCTGGGCTTGTCGTGGCAGCTTTTCTGTCCAAAATGTTGCACAGGCCATGTCCTCCACCTGGGTTTCTCGTGGTCTGCCAGGGACAATGTCAACAGTGTGCCACAAAGCCTGTCCCAGAAGCACAAATCTTACCAATTATTTGCAAAATCTTTGGGCAAACTTGAGGCAGGTAATTGTGCCATAGCTTGTAGGCACGTTCTGGCCTGAAGATGGCTTCCCAGAGGTGTGTTTCTGGGTGTCCTTTTCCCAGCATCAGTTCATTCTTTGTTGCTTGGTGCCGTGTGTCTGCCTCAGCCTGGCTTTGAGGATGGCTGTTGATGGCAGTAACAACCACCTCAGGTCTGTGAGGAAACCACTGCTCTGCCTGGATAGCTCCCACATCTGCTGTCCACAGAGTTACTCTGAAGGCACCTGCTGGTTACCTTGGCTGCCACTGGCTGCAGTACCAAGGTAAAGACTCCTGCAGTACCACCCAGCTCTGCCCATCCAGTCTGCTGCAGATTGTTGCCTAAATCTCAGGGCTAACAAGACAATATATTGGCCAGCTGACTTGCATGTGGTGGCAAGTGTTAAATCAGAACCAAACCCAATGTTTTGGCCTGTAAACCAGGAGCTGTCTCCTGCATAACTGTGGAGAAGGCTCCAGCTCTAAGAGGGGGCAATAAACACCCAGGGGTTGGTTTGCTGTGGAGATGCCAAGGAGGGGGTGGTGGCAGGTGAAGTTAGTGCTGCCCCATCTGTGTGCATGATGCAGTGGATTTGATTTATGGGATTATGCCCTGTTTTTATGAAAATATTTGCCTCATAGTGGAGAAAATTTGCCAAAGTGAGATAGGATCTGTGGTGTCTCTGTCTAACTGACAGCCAGTGGCTTCTTTTGGAAGTGACAGGTTCCTGGGCAGGATGAGCTTTCTTGGAAAGCATTGCCCAATGTATGTAGTAAATCAGGTGGAGGGTTTTGAATGGAAATGGAGTTGTACTCTTGTCCTGGCTAGCAATCAGCACAGCAAATTAAACTGAATTTCCCTGTCTGGTGCCCAGTTACATGCTACTTGTGGCAGCATTCCAGTGTCTGTGGGTTCCTGCAGTACTGACATGATCTCTGATGTTCTTGGGGAGCCCATCTGGTGGGAAGGTCTTGGTGGAAAGGAAGCAAGGTGGTTTCATCCTGAGTTACTTTGAAGCTGGGCAAGTGCTGGTTTCATTTGGTCTCACCTGCCTCTGTTGCTTTTGGCTTGCACCCTGTTGAACATTGTGCTCACCAAGAGGGCTCACTTGTGTGCCCAGCCAGGCCAGGTGAGGAGGGGCATGAAATTTGAATACAGTTGTGCTTCTGCCATCTCTCAGAATCTGTCAGGTTTGTCCTTTCTTTCGTAGCATACAGAGGTGTTCTGTTCCCTTCCCAAACTTTCCCAAGGCTGAACAAGCCAATTGTGCCTGTCATGTTGTTCCTAATAATACTGCTGCCTAAAAAAAATAGGTGATAACAGAGCAGGATATCCGTGCTCTCTGGCCAACTGTGTTTTATAAAGCAACTCTGCAAAAGGAGGAGAAAATTTATCTTGTTTTGTTTAAAGAGCACCCTGTCCCTGGTTTATTCTGGGCCAAAGAATGGCTCTTGATTTCTGACACTTCTGAAGAGATGAAGATAGCTGTTATTTTTAAACTTGAAGTTCCCACTTATTGTGTTTGGTTTTGTTGTTTTTTTTTTCTCTCTGAGTTTGGTTTCCCTTTTTTAGCTGCTGTTGATGGGGAGAGCTGGGTATTTCCAGACTTGGTGATTTGCCCAGAGAGTGCTGAACATCTCATTCCCTGTATTCAAGGCAGAGTGGTACTTTCAGGTCCTAAAGCCACTGAAATGCCAGATGTGTACAGTAAGCTCTCGTGTAAAGTTCAGGCTGGGGGCTCTTCACTTAGAGACTTTCTGACTCCTCCAAGGGCTGTTAATATGCTTAGTGTTGAACACAGCAGGACTCTTCTGCCAAAGTGACCTTACCCTGTGGGTTTTTTTCCAACCTTGCTGCAGAATCTAAACCAGAACCCACGGACACTGCTGCCAAAGTTCTATGGGCTGTACTGTGTGCAGTCAGGGGGCAAAAACATCCGCGTGGTGGTGATGAACAACATCCTGCCCCGCGTGGTGAAGATGCACCTGAAATTTGACCTCAAAGGCTCCACCTATAAACGCCGGGCATCCAAGAAGGAAAAAGAGAAGTCCAGCCCTACGTACAAAGATCTGGACTTCATACAAGACATGCCTGAAGGCCTGATGTTGGATGCAGACACCTTCAGTGCACTGGTGAAAACGTTGCAACGAGACTGTCTGGTAAGGAGAGGGGCAGCTTGGGGAGCAGGTTAATGAAATTCTGGGGCTCTCGAGCATGAGGAAGAGGAAATGATTAAGAACCTTGCTAATCTGATAGCCCCAAAGCAGGATAAATCCATCCTACTGCCCTTTTCCCTGAAAGCAAAGCAATGAAGTCGGGTCTCATGACAGCCTCTGAGGATGAAGGCTGCGTTCCTTTGCCCGGTGCAGCAAATTGTGGCAGCCTGCTCCACTTGTAGCTGGGCTGTGGGGACTAAATACATTTTTCCTGCACAGTGCACAGCAGGTACATGGTACAACAGTGTTATTTGCAAACCTTCAGCCCCTTGGGTTGATTGTGGGATGGCCAAACTTTTATGCAGTCAAGTCCAGAGATGACTATTGGTTCAGAAACATTCAAGCTCTGGCAAAGGAGCTGTTAGTGGGAACGTGAATGGGTTGTTCCATGCTTTGGGATCTGTGCTGTGTTTGACCAACTGGCTTGACATCTTGTCTTTGTTCTTAACTCAATATTAACCTGTAGGTGTTGGAAAGTTTTAAAATCATGGACTACAGCCTCCTGCTTGGGGTTCATAACATAGACCAGCAAGAGCGGGAGAGGCAGTCGGAGGGAGCCCACAGCACGTCGGATGAGAAGCGTCCCGTGGGGCAGAAGGCACTTTACTCCACAGCCATGGAGTCCATCCAGGGTGGGGCTGCCCGGGGGGAGTCCATAGACACCGACGACACGTAGGTGAAAACCTGCTTCACTTCTGCTGCTGGGGAGGGCTGGAGCTGGAGGCTGGAGGAGCAGAGCCCTAGCCAGGCCCACGTGAACTCTTGGAGCGAGGATCTCTCCTGGGGGTTGTGGTGCTGCTGCCAGTAAAGCAGCATGGGGTGAAAGGGGGAAAATGGGGTGGGAAGTCTTTGTGTAAGACTCCAACCTCACAGTGATTTCTCTTAGACCAGTCTGTAGGTTGTCAGCTGCTGTTACAGTCTCTAAACATCTACACGTGCTCTGGGGAGGAGAAATTAGCTCAGTTCTAGCTCAGCACCCAACTACTGGAGTGGAAGCAGGGATCAGCCTGTCCCCAGGAGCTTGGAGTTTGTTCTCCATCGCTCCTGCTCCTCTGACAGGACCTGGAGGCCATCCCAGTGCAGTTAGCAAACAGCCAGGCACTGGATTAACTGATGGAGCTGTGGGTTCTGGGGGTTGCCTAAAACCTGTCCCATGCCCCATCCGTGGCTCTAGGGCTGCAGGTGGCTCGTGGGGCTGTACCACTGGCTCTGTGGAGGAAGCTTGCTAACAAGCAGTGGAGTTTGCTGTTTGTTGCTGTCTGAAACCTGCTGTTCCAGTTTGAATGGAGGGTCAGTCTTGCTGGAGCCATACTGGATAATACCTGGGTGTTTCCAGACGTTCAAGTAGCATCACTAATTGCAGTGACCTGCCTGATACCTGCATGTGTTTGTGGTGTGCTGGTGCTAATGGCTGCTACACCTTTGGCAGGACTGATATTAGTGTGGAGAGGACTGGAAATACCCTTGTCCTTACAGGTTTGCAGCCCTAATAGGCAGATGGCTCACGCTGACCTGATAATCTGATTCCCAGAATAAAATGTCCTGTAGCTAAGAAAAACCAGTGTGGTGCTTTCTGGCCCAGGCAGAGCTGTTGCCAAATGACACAGGTCCTGTCCTGGCAGTTGATATTTGGCAATCCAGGCAGGCAGGAGCCCCGGGAGCACCTTGTGTGAGGTGGTTTGGGGTCAGCAGGGGATTTCCCATGGTTGTGCCCAAAATGAGTTGGTTGTGGTCGGCCACCACCTCAGAGCCCTTTGTTCAGCACTGCCATCGGGGCCTTCTGCAGGTCTTGGGGGTGTTACAGCTGCTCTTCTTGAGGATCCACTCACTGAGGTTTTGTTTCCCCTGCAGGATGGGAGGAATCCCAGCAGTGAATGGCAAAGGAGAGCGTCTCCTGCTCCACGTGGGAATAATAGATATCCTTCAATCATACAGGTAGGTAACGTTGCAGTTGTTTGTCCTTTAAGTGTATCAACATCTGTTTTAATATTGAATGAAAGCAGGAAAATGTTCCTCTCCTAGAGAGAGTGATAACAACCAGGCAGGCTGCCTGAAGCTCTCTGTTGATGCGTGTCAGGGGCTGTGGATTTTTCTCCTGTCCTTAGAAGAGCTGGGGACATAGAGACATTTTCCTAAGACATAATGAGTTGCTCATTAAGAGGTTTCCCATCTCTGGGCCTAGGATGGGTAGCACATCTCCAGGCATGGAAGGTGGTTTTCTGCCCCTCTTCCAGCCCAGCTCCTCCTTCCCTGGGGGTTTCCCAGGTAGTCCTGACCTAAGTGCAGAGGTGTGCTCAGCTGGCCTCTCCTGGCCAGAGGAAAGCCACTCTCTGGATCAGGGAGGAATCAGCAGCAGCTCAGTGCTCTGTCCTGCTTGGGCTGTGAGAGGTGGCTTAGATACAGAGTATGTGCCTGAATCAGTCTTCTTATTTTTCTCTCCACTTTTTCCTGGAATTAGGTTCATCAAGAAGCTAGAACATACCTGGAAGGCTCTTGTCCATGATGGGGTGAGTGCCTGTACAGAGGCAGGAATTGCCCAGGCCTTGGCAGGATTACCTGTCCTGGCTTTATTTATGCTAAGTGGGTGCTGATTACCTTGCTATTTATAGCCCCTGAACTGGCACAGTGAGGCTGATGAAATGAATAGTTCTTGCCTCTTATGCCTCCACGGTGGTGTAGAGCCACTTGTTCCCAGTCAAGTTTCCTTGCTCTCCCCACCTCCTCTCATGTTTAGCTGTCGTGCTACCAGCTTTCCTCCTCTGCTCCCATCTGTCATCCTCCTCCTCCCCGTGGTACCAGGAGCTGCACAGACAAGGTGTGTGCATTCCTGTGTGCGTTGAGGAGACCTGTGTTTGATCTCTTTGGTGACTGTTTCCACTCCAGGAAGCTATCTGTTAATAAATCCCTCTCAGTGTTTCCCTGCTGCCTTGTCTCCTGCAGCAGCCAGGTGCATATTTACAAAGAGAGTAACCTTGGCTGTGGCAGCTATTTTTCAGCACTGCATATTGTAGCTTCCCTTACATAAGGCAGAGGAAATGTGTAGATGCCACGTCATGGTAGCACAGCAGAACGTCAGCAGCAGAGGCAGCCTCAGTTTTACTATTTTAAACAAGTGCAAAATGTTTGAAATGGGTGGAGACCCTGGGCTGAATTTTGGTGCCCGTGTGGTATCCAAGTGAGCTTCGAACGTTAGCCAGCAAAACCAGCAGAAATTTCACCTCTGTCATCAGGCAAGTATTTGAAAAATCCAGGAAGCCTACAAAGGAGTCAAATCAGCAAAATCCATTCTAAAATCATAGCAAGAATATAATCCAATGCAGTCAAATCAAAGGCAACGTTTCAGGCTTATTTATAGCATTAATCAGATCATTTCAGTTAAGCCTTTCCATTTTAAGGCTTTATCAGTGCTAAATGTTGGAATAAAAAAAGACTGCATGTGGTTGTTATAGAAATTCTGCCTTGAGGGATAATTTTAAAATGAAACAATTGCTTCTTGCCTTTGTAGGACACGGTGTCAGTACACAGACCCAGCTTTTATGCAGAGAGATTCTTCAAATTCATGACCAACACGGTGTTTCGAAAGAATTCCTGTGAGTACCTAACTCCAAGAGCTGTTGCCCTCGAGGTGTGAGGCAAGCCTTATCTCAATCCTGCTGCTTCAGGCCACGTGGAGTGTTTCTGGGCTGAAGTCTGAGCAAGCTTTTCCACTGTAATACAGAGCAAAGCCCTCAGGTTGTCACAGCTTGCTTTGGTCTGCTCAGACTCCCACCCAGGAGCTCTCCCCACAGCCCGCCTTGGGTTCAGCCCCTGGGAGACGTCCCTTGCAGAGCACGTGGGTGTGTGTCTGGAGCAGAGGCCTCTCCCTGGGAAGGGAAAATGCCTTTGGTGTGACAGTAGTTGTTGGTGGTACCTTCATCTTCTCTTTCACCCTTCTCCTCCAGCTCTGAAGTCCTCTCCCTCAAAGAAAGGGCGCAGTGCCTTGCTCGCTGTCAAGACAGCTGGTCCAACAGCCGCGTTCTCAGCCAGCCAGCTTCCCTCTGAAAAGGATGAAACACAGTATGATCTTCGTGCAGCCAGGAGTTACCCCACCCTGGACGATGAAGGTAATGGCCTCTTTTGGTGGCTGATGGCTGTGATGACCCTCTCTTTCCTAGCAGTACCTTAGGATCCTCCCCTGTTCTCATCAAGTTCCCCACTGCACCGACCGCACGTGTTCCTCGATGGATAGCTCTTCACTGCATGTCTTGCTGTGCTTTGCAGGTGCTAAACTTAACCAGGACAGGGGAGAAGGTAAGAGGGTATTGTTTTGGCACAGCACCAGCCACTAGTTCACTGGGGAAGCGATGCCTCTGCACTGAAAGAAGACTAAATCCCTTCTTTGCAGCACTGTTTAGTTCTGCAGTAGAAATCGTCACTTGTGTCACTGCTGTGAGGCAGCTGCTGCCAACTGGCACCAGCAGAGTGATCAGAAAAATGAATTTCTGATCACCAAAAGTGATCTGAAAGGTGAATTTTCCACCCTCTTGAAAAATAAGGGGTGGGGAGGGGCCAGGCAGGGAAGGACTGGGAGCTGCAGGTCTCTAATGACAATATTTGGGCAATTATAAGGGGCAAGATCTTTCAACTGAAAAAAAAAAAAGAAGAATGGCCTGGTTCTGTGCTGCCTGTTCTGCACATCTGGACAGGATTTACAGATGAGTGGTGCAGTGCAGGCTCCTCGAGTGCATAGGTGTTAGATTTCTACCCGTGCAAAGAAATGAGCACTCAATTCATCTCTTAATTCAGTTGGATATTTATCTCTGGCAGTCCAAGCCTTTAATCCAGCTTTGGTTAGCAATGAGATGTCTTCATTGGCATTACACTTCCTACAGTGTGTGTGTCTGTTGTGCTGGAAATGGTGCTTACTGGCTCTCTCTAGAGGATGCCTTGGGAGAAGCTGTTGCATTCATGAACCCAGATAAACTCCTTGCCTGTTTATGGTTTTAAGTGACCAGTGAGGGTGTGCAGGGTGACCGTGGAGCAGCCTCACGCAGGGCTGGGGGAGGTAAGGTGTTGCTGTTTGACCTACTCATCTTTTCCTTCCTGCATCTCTCCTGCCCTCCACTCTGGGCCAGCAGGCAGGCCAGACCTGCTACCCTGCACACCTCCTTCCTTTGAAGAAGCTACCACGGCCTCCATAGCCACAACACTATCTTCAACTTCTCTCTCTGTTCCCGAGCGATCCCCTTCAGAGACCTCTGAGCAGCCCAGGTACAGGTGAGGACATCACTCATCCATCCCCTGCTCCCACTGGAGCCAGGCAGCTGCTGTTCTCTCCATGCTGCAGATCTCAGCAGGCTGCCCTGTGCTCTGGAATGCTAATGACCGACTTTAATTAAATCTCTCCTGGGAGCAAGCAGATGAAGCTTTGATGGGATTAATTATTGCTGGGAGAAGTGTCAACTATTAAGTAGAACATCTCCCTCATGGAGTGAGGAGATAGATTTGGGGGCAGTGTAGGATTTCTGCCTTACTCACTCTACTGTTCTGGTTTCTTTCTGCAGGAGGCGCACACACTCCTCAGAGCAGGATGGCAGGTGAGGAAAATGTCTTGTCTCTTCTTGTGCTGCTGCACAGAGACCTCACGTTTGTCCCTGTGCAAAGGTTTCTGGAAGGGCTGAATGCAAATCTTGGCAGCCTCAAGATTTTGGCATGGTCCTCTTCGGGGTGATGAGTTTCTTCCTGCAATCAAATGTTCCCCATTTCTAACACAGACTCTTCCTTACAAACACACCTCTCAGTGCTTTGCAAGGAATCTCAGATATTGTCCGTGTTGTTTGATAGGAAAGGGGACAACTGAGTTGTCCAAATTTACCCACCCAACCAGCACCAGAATCAAGAAAGGTCTTTTATGTCCTTCTGTGGGTAAATAATCCTCAACAGCAG